CTGTGGGAAAGATCGCATCACTGACTGGCAGTGAATTTCGGAACGCAGCCATAGATTGGAGCGTATTAAAACATGTGAGGCATGCGACAAACCTATAGAGTGATACTAAAGAACAATGCATATTTTGCAATGCATATGCAGCCTCTCTGCTTTATCGGAAATAATATGTATCATTTTTTATCTCATTTTATGATAAGAACATAATAAGAACATGATTCATAATAATTTTACACGACGAATTAGTATATCATGCAGGAAAAAGCTAGAAGTTAAAAAGAGAAAGCATTATAAAAAAAAATTTTTTTTTATATTTATTACACATGCTCAAAAGTTTAAAAACCTTTCAAGTTTTCGAGCATTTATTATTTTTCGGATTTTTATTTTCGAATAAAATGTAAACAATGAGCGGAAGTAAACAAGATAATTAACAAATTGGCAGTTTTATTTCCCATTTTTGCATAAGGAATTGTATACAATCTTTATACTCGTTAATATCTTCAGCTTAAAACAAGATTCTTAAAAATGTAAAGTAGAATTTTAAGCATAAAAATATGGAGTAGTTTTGGATTTTTTCATGTTGTCAGACAATTGTTTTACATTACTGAGCTAGCCAGATTCCATTCCAAAGCACTCACAATCCCTACTCGCTCACTTATCCAAAGCATGGCACTGTATCATATATTTGCATTATATGTTACAATTAAAACTGTATATATTATATAAAATGGAAGCATTTATTTAAATTTTCACCCTCTTCTTTGTGCCACATTTGCACTAAATAGATACTTATTTGCAAAACGCAAATTCCATCTTCAAAAATTTTAATATTTGTATATTAAATCGAAAATTGAAAATGCACTTATGTTCCAATATTCATGCATTTTTTTATAGATGAGAAATTTTATGATTTGTATATACCCAGCAATACACCGTTAGTTACAACATCTGGAAGACTGCTAGTTGAATCAGCTTGGACATATGGATCGCAATGAAAAGTTAAAATTGGATGATGCCCCAAAATATTTGGATGATCGTGCATCAAGCCATTTGCAACCTTCTCTATCCTTAAAATAAGAAACGGTGAGATTAATTGTAGAAAACCATGATTAGACAAATATTCAACTTTACTATATTAAAATATTTATAATTTTACTACGTTTTAAATTTTAAAACTTAGATTTACCTTTTGTGAGATGCGTTGGATTCCTCATTTTCTATACCCAAAAAATTGAGAACTTGCTGTTTTGTTGCCAATAAACGCAGCATTTTCTGTATATATAATTCCAACGCGGCTCGTCGTTGTTCTAAAACTTTTGGTTGTGAGTTTCTCACCCTTTTCGGTGGAAATGGTGCAATATCTGTATTATCTTTCTTCAACTAAAAATCAAACTTTTATATATAATGATATATAATCCAATGTAGTGTGTTTCAAAATCGCAAGATATAAATTAAATAGAAGTATTAATTTGTCAATGGTTTAGTTGCTTAGTGTACACCGATTGTTTAGTACGCGTACCAAGTACTAAATCTGCTTCTCCGATAGGTATAAATCGTTTAGTGTAAAATCTACACCAATCAAAGAAGCAGATTTAATACTTGGTACGCGTACTAAACAATCGGTATAAACTAAGCCAATGTTAATCAATTTATGAGAATAGCATGCTGTTTTGTAACTAGAAATCATATCTATAATATATAGTCTATATCTAATATATAGCCTAAATCATATCTATAATAGTCCTTAACAGAATTGTTAATGGCTATATACTACGTGCCAAAAATTGTGTAGGAATTTAATACAAATTGTCACCTCACCATTATGTTTTATTTCAATTATAATTGGATATATGATGCTAAAACGTACCGCACGATGTAGCGCACTAAATTCACTGTATCTTCTCTCGATGTAATATCGAGTGCCCGTTTTTAACTCCAAAATCTCGATACAGTAAACATAATAGGGTTTGCCGTGTGACACTTCGGCCAAACGATAGCCGCTGATGAAAACTTCGTACATCGCATTGCAACTTTCGTCAATAATGTTTCAATGATGCTCTCTGATAATAGATTTGCAGAATTAAAAATGCTACAGGACATGCAAAAATGTGCAACAAAAGCATATAGTGGTAGAATCTACAGTATAGTACAGTACAGTGTCGAACATCAGAGATAGGAATATCGATAAATTAATCGATGTTCGATTCCTTTCTTTTAATCGATTGTTTTCTCGATGTTTGCAGATTCGATTAATCCCTTGCGCTTAATTCAGTAATGTTGGTAATAATGTTACGTGACACTTTGCGAACAAAATCAGTTGCCGAAGTGTTTGATATTTTTCCGGCAAGATATTCCCGGGGGTGATGCAGAATGTCGCCTGGGTTTCAAATAATTTCATTCAAAACGTAAGCCGGTTGATTTTAGTCTCGGTTCAACAAAGGAATTCATGTTACCATTTGCAACAAGATCTTCGACAGTAGTGCCCATAAATTTTTCGTACGCACGATATAGCACAATACTGACTCCGGTAGGGCACTTGGATTCTGTTAAAACATCGATCGCCGCCGTGAGAGTGTTAGAGTATGCAAGGATGCTGTTTTTCCAAATTGCGCGGCGCTTCCATTAATCGTTTGTGTTTACTTCAGTGGTGTAAGGATCAGAATATGTTCTCATTGTGATAGGTTAAAACTCAGCTGAATCTGAATTTCGTTGCACGTTTCCGTTAATAAAGATGAGCGGGGAAATGTTCGAAGGAAAGGATTATCCAACTCAATGGGCGCTTAATCCTTCCGCCTATCAAAACATGAGTAACGATCAAGGTAATTTGTATGATAAAATCAAAATTTGCAAATCTTTATATTGCAATTCATTAACACATAAAATGTATTTTGTATTGTTTATTGTTATTTGTTTGGAAACAGTGGACTGGGCGGCTCTGGCGCAACAGTGGATAAAAATGAAAGAGACTGTTGTACCACCAGCACCGCCACCACCTTCTATAAACTCTATGTGTTCCGCAAATGATGGCAGTGGAGAGGCACCAATGGATATGGACACCAAAGATGATGACGTCCCTCCTGCTCCTCCTGCGCCAACTATTAGTGGATCCGGTAAGACTTCTTAAAATTAAGAGAATTGTATATGATTGAAATCAGACGGTAAAAATTTTGACATTCTATCTTTTGATGCTAATAGAAGCTTGGACTCAATGGAGCCAGTGGGGTCATTGGAATACTTCAGCATCTGGGACAGGAAGTTGGGAATGGAGTGGCGTACCTCCTCCTGGTGTTACCATAGGTCCTGATGGCAAACCAATTGGGCTTCCAGCTGTACCAGTCATACCACCTGCGCCAGTAATATCTACTACTACTGACTTTACTGCTCCTCCTCCTGCTTCGTCATCGCTTTATTCATATAATTCAGTGCAGTCTACACAACCATACAATCAGGTAAAAAATAATGGTAAAAGTTAAAATCTATAATCTATAATCGTATCGTGCGTCTTATTAGATCCTTCCTTCTCAGGTTCCTAACTATTGGTCTGAAGAGCCGTCTAACTCAGTGCCATCGCAGCCACCTCCTTTCATAAAAGGCATGAGACATGCTAATAGAACACCTCACATAAGAGTGATGGACTCTGTTCGATGCCGAGATGACAGAGAGAAGACACCGGAGGAAGATACTACCACAACCATAGGTAAAATTTGTATAAGAGATGGTGATAATAATAACTTTTAAACGCTGCAACTAATTTAGTCAGGTTACGCTAAAATTATTGAAAAATTTCAATAAAATTCTTGGAATTTTTGTATCGATAATTTTAAAGTGTAACCTGATAATTACACGCTGCTGCTAATTCGTCCTGCGTAGATGCCGCAAAACGAAGGCAATTACCAGCATGGATCCGCGAAGGATTAGAAAAAATGGAGAAGGAAAAACAGAAAGCTGTGGAAAGGGAGAGGCTAGAGATATTAAGAAAGCAGGAGTTGGAGGCTCGTAAGCAAGCCGAGGACGAGGCGCGCGCAGTACTCAATCCTAGCAAGAGCAAATTTGTAAGTGTTAATCGCGTTACATTGTCCGAACATTGAGCTGGAGATTCTGCAGATCTGTGTGATTATGAAATTCTACGATAGGATTCAGACTCGGAAAAGGAAACCGAGCAGGACTTTGATGCGGATAGCACGCGTGGACAGCAACCTGCGGAAAAGAGCTACGATCGCACTCCGGATATCGTCGTTCGGCCGCGAAAGTCACGATTTAGGGATGCCGATTCACCCGAATCTCATGCGGACGCTGACGAAAGTCCCACTGCCGTACCCAGTGCGCTACCGGTCACGCAGAAACGGTCTCGAGAGGAGGTCCTGCAGGAAGTGGTAAGCAGAAAAGATTTTTCAAGATTGCAATTAAATTTCTTAACTGATTACAATTAATTCGAAACAGTTGGTATTCGTAGCGAAGTATTTACGATCAATTTTTATCAGGCATCGTAAATTGTATTTGTACTTACTGTTGCGCAGATGTTGAAAGTAAGGAGATCACTGACAGAAATACTTCTGGAAGTAACGAACGAAGAGATCGGTTCAATATGCAGAGAGGTTTGGAGCCGCGCACGTGCCAAAGGTACTCCAGATACACACGATAGAACTAACCAATTGAATTTCCGTGCTTTTGCTCGCCGGAGCACAGAGTCCAATTTAGTGAGTTTACTTGTCGCGCTATGCTGCGACAAGGCTGTGCGATTGTGTAATACAAAGATGAAAGCATTAAACAGAGATTTCTTAATACGTAGACTTAATTATTCGGCAATTTCAGGACATCCTGGTTTTTGTGTTTTCAGGGATTTTTACGTATAGCATAAGGCATAGCTTTCATTCGTTTTAATCACGTAATCGTCTCGCATTACGTGCTGTAGATTTTAAAGACTTTTAATGTATCGGCATTCTTATGTCTGGCAACGATTTCGCGATATATATTCTTAGAATAAAGACTTTAGAAATATAAGCAAAGTGTCCAACAATCAGAATTTTAGTAGAGATAATTGGTCAATTGAATTTAGACGAATAATATGATAAAAACTAAAAGTACGCATCTTACGTCTATTTTATATCGTAGGCAAATATTATCGCTCAAATCTTTATAGATACCTCCAATATCTAATGCATTATAACATCAAAATTCGCGCGCCAAATTGCAATGTCGACTAATTTAGCCGCGTAGAATATTGTAGTTCGACTTGTAAGTGTGGAGTAATGCTGTAAAGATTTCTTAAGGTGCATGTGAGAGAGGAAAGGGACAGAGGGACGAAGGGACAGGATTTGCCTTCCTACGAATGAGCCGATTAAGGGTTCATTCAGTATTATCGAGGGCATTATCCGTGCGGTAGCACTTCTAGCTATTGATTACTAAATGCGTGTGTATTGTAAGTCCCTGCAGGAGAGACCCCCGTCGCATCCCTCAACAACATGGCCCCTCTTGCTCAGATCACTCGCAAGCTCGGTGAGTACGCTTTAACGCTTTATACGATACACGGCAAAATCCCTAGGGAACGGCCGTAAAGCGGTGCAGTAAATCGTTAGAAAAAAGAAAGTCGGGTCACTGTGTGTATGCACACATGCCTCGGTATTTAATTCGGCCGTTCGCTCGTAGAGATTTATCGCCGCAATCGAAAGAGATTGCTCCTCTCTTTCGTTCTTTCTCAGGACATTTCTCAATGAAAGTAACGGCTGCGAAAATTAATCGGAGCCGAACGTATGTTTTTTTGTTTTCTTTTTTCACTGCGACTCTGAGAATGTCATCTCGCGCGCACTGAATGGATGTCACTTCGAATTCTATCTGCCGTAGGTCTGGGCATCTACGGCGACAGTAACAGCGAGTCCGAGGAGGAGCAGGGCGAGCACGCAACGATTCAGAATGACGACAGCGACGAGGAGCTGAAGGTAAGCGCGCAAAGTGGAACAAATCACATCACGGTGTTATTATTGCTTCAAGCTCGGAATAGCGATGGTACATTCGTTTTACTTTACGAATGAATGTCGCAGGAAACTCTGAGACGGCGACAGCAGGCGTTTCGTAAAACTGAGGAAGAGATCGAGGCGCGGATCGCCGAGGATGAAGAAAGGGAAGAGCGTCAGGAGGAGCAGTACAGTAATAAGCAACAGGAAAATCATACCGGTAATACTAGCTGCCGGGAGTCAGGTATGTTTCGACAGACAACACAACCATATGTGGCTGCTGCGCAATTAAGTGTAACTTCCTGACGTCATACTTTAGTTGATGAAAAAGAAACGGTAAATAATCAAAGAGAAGCGTCCGAAACTTTGTCGAGTGGCGGACAAAGTCCACAATCGGCGGCGCCGCAGAACGCGCCGGTGGCCGACGGACAGCAGGCGAAAGCCAGCAGCACGGTATCGGGATCGGCCGACTCCGAGTCGAGCAGCACCGATTCCACGAGCAGCTCGTCTGAGTCGAGCCACGAATCCGTCAGCAAGAAGCACGACAAAGCGCGTTCGAGCAAGCAGCAGTCGCAGTCGCAACAGCGTGAGCAGCAGCAGCGCGATCAACGTTACCACCGGCGGCGAAAATCCAAGAGTAGAAGCAAGTCGCGCAGTGGCAGACGATCCACCCGGTCTTCGCGCTCGTCCGAACGCACGCACAAGCGACGATCACGCTCGAGATCGGCCAAATCGCGTAAGCGCTATCGTTCGCGCTCCTCGCGCTCATCTAGCGATCATGGGTCCAGCAGGAAACACCGTGCGCGATCGCGCGATGGGAAACGCGCGAGATCGCGTTCGCGTAGCTGCCGACGCTCCAGGTCACTGTCCGCCGGTGGGAAATGGTCGTCGCGGTCGCGTTCCCGCAGGGGAAAGTCCCGCTCGCATTCCAGAGACAGGCGGAGGAACAGCCGATCGCGTAGCAAGTCGTCACGTGGAACGAAACGAAGAGGATCGCGCTCGAGGTCGCGCGGCGGCAGGGAGAGATCGCGCAGCCGTTCGAGGGATCGTAGGCGATCGAGGTCGTATGTTTCCAGGAGGAGCCGGCGGAGCAGCCGATCCAAATCGCGGGATCGGAGTAGAAAAACGCGATCCAGGTCGCGACAGTCGAGCCACCGCGATGGTAAGAAGTCATCACATCGATACAGGAATTGAGCCTGATCTGCTCTTAGCCCAAAAGGTTGTATGTACATTCATTTTCATTATAGCATTAACATAGGATAACGTAAAAGGCAGTGATACAATTATTTGGACAAGTTCGTCGTCTGAAATCAGAAATTATTTTCGAAAATTTTTCTCTATTTTTTTTTGTTTTTCGTTATATTACTACGTACGTATTCAGATGATTTATTGTGTTTACGAAATGTTTTTCATGGATTTTACGAGTGACAATATTTACGTAGTTATACTTTATGTATAAACAATGCCATTTCATCAATGCACATCTTTCGATTCTATACTATAATTATGGTGCTTTGCGTATAAACTATTTTTTTTTATTTGCTTTTATCTTAGAATATTTATTACTTTCTTTTCTAATTACGAGATAATTAGAGACTAATGGGCATTTATACAATATATTTTTATTTTCTCTTTCCATCGGTTTTCACATATTGAATAAAATTTATGTTATTAGAAAAGTATATAGTAAAATAATTTATTCTTAAGAAATGGAAGACATTGAAACTTGCTCAATAGATTTCAAGAGTTTAGTAGCAGCAGCGTATAATGCAATAAAATTACTTAACTTTGTAGATTTTGTGCAATTGTGTTATGACAGATTTATTAGGTTTAGGTATGATAAGTAGCATTAAAAGGATTCGAGATAGGATTTATTAAGATGCATCCGAAATTGGCAAATAATTTATATGTGTATTTTATCGATCTTCAAAATGATGGGCTGAAACAAACCAAGGCAATAAGGTTACTAACGTAAAATATAATTTCATAATAATAAATATTTTTTCCACTCAGTTTACTAATTTTCTGTGAAATGTGTGTTTATTTTAATTAACTAACACAAATTGAAACATTTTTTTAATTAATACAAATAAAATTTACAAAAGTATAGTGTCTATATTTTATTTTTAATATCGAAGTAACCAATATTCTTATTAAATATATATCTATTCTAAATATATATATATACTTATTAATATATCTTTGTTTGTTTCAAGACTTCATTTATTGATGATATATTTCAAATATGAAAAAGTAATGACTAGTCATGCGTTTTTATGCATAATATTCAATCGCCTACACAATTAATGTTCATACATGATAAATTCGTACAATTTACAATTCGTGATGAAATAATGTAATATATAAATGACACTAGAGAACTATCACACTTTTATTAAATAAATGAATTACTAACTGCTACCTAAGAATCCATTAGAATGTAGATCCCAAAATGAAGAAAAGTGAAAAGCAATATAGTTCGAATGCATATTTTTTTGTCAGAAGATAAAAAAAATATGCCATTTATATAAAGTGTAATTACTAATTGCTCGTTCGTTCTTTCAAAAAGTGCATCGTTCGTCTCATACGCGGATTTGGCACATGAAAGCAAGTCGGAAATCGTTTTAAACTTCCAACGAGCTTTTTTCATAGATGTCAGTTACGAAATTGTAGCATTGTTAGAAACGCACACACTTTTATACAGTGAATGCTATATTACATTTAGTATCAGTAAACACTAAATGTTGCCGGATAAAATCCGTGCGCGAATTTACGCGTACACTTTTGTTGATATCCAAAATTATTATATTACGTTCAATGTTAACTATATATAAATATAAATAAATGTTATTGAATTCGGAAAGTACATAGTGGCGTACGATTTGTACTCGAATTAGGACAGAAAATCTATACAAGAAAAATCTATCAAGAAACGTGTCTGGATTTTAATAAAAAAAAAAAAAGAAAAAAAAGGAAAGAAAAAAAACGAAAAGACCGCTTTAACGTAGATTAAAGAATATTGTTCAACCAAATTGATCGATCAATATTTTGTAGATTGAATGTGCATCAGGATTTCGACACGAGTCCTAGAACTCTTATTTTGTTTCAGCATCTTCCACTGGCTTCCACTCGGCTTCAACATTTCACTTTTCAGTTCGGCTCTTCAACGTTTCACGATTCAGTTCACCGACATACACAGCATTATGGTACAATTACAGAGTTTCCGAATATATCACATTCAATAATACTTAAGGCTATGTTATAAATTTGTGTTATGTTATTCGCTAACATATAAAAGTCTATTTCTCCTTTTTAAAGAATATATATGTTTCTCTCACACAAGCGCTACGCGTGTTTGAACAAACATGCGTGCAAAAATTTATATGATTACGCGGCAGCCAAACATGATGAATAAAGTTACGAAAGGTAATCAAAGTAGTTGTATTCTTTCCAAGCGATTCATGAAGATTGCGTAAATTGAGTATTCAATCGACCGAACGGATCAATTCAACGAAATAAGTGTACCATATATTTCATTGAGTGATGTGCAAAGAATAGATAAGATGCTTGCGAAGTCTCCAAGTTCCGAGCGTTTGCAATTTTCTTCCCGATGAATAATCGATCGAACTGAAATATAGTTAAATTGGTCATCAATCACATACAATAATATAATCATATATTAACACAAATCATTTATAATTGATAGAAATAATTGTCAATACGATATTCCCAATGTCATTGTATTTCACCTTTATGGAATGGAATTCATTTTCTCTATCAGATGATCGTAAACATATTGTCGTACATCTACAGCAAACATGAAATCGAAGTGATTCAGTCGTGTCAATGTCACTGTGTACTTCTCCACAATATTTGGCAGTTTTCTGCTCAAAATATCAACGTCCTAAAAACATAACACAATGCGATAAGATATCGAACCCAACACAAAGTTGCAAAGATGATTAAATGCGCGTTTGATTACGTCTGGATGAGCGAGAAAGTCGTTCAAGCCGTTATACAAAATCACCGGGGCTGTAATCCTATCTAAGGGATATTCTGGCGGCGTGAACTGCCCGTAAACCATGATATTGTTTAGCGTGCCGTAATCGTAAGGTCGGAAATGTCCTGCAAGAAGAATAATTTATTTGTTTCATGAGAAACGCGCACATGTATGTAATTGCGGGAGATTTTTGAAATTTTATAAATTTCATATAATTTCAATTTCAATTGATACCTGGATTCTGAATACCCATCGCGTAATGAACCAATTGCTTGTAGGAACATCCCGCCGGTGCAAACTCCACGTACTCTGCGAAGTGAGCCTGAAAATATGTAACATTATTTTCACATAAGCAGATCGGAGTCACGTTTGGCTCGGATAATCCGAGTTTCTTCGGCATTGATAGCTCACATGATCTACTTCGGTGCTGAAGCCTCCGATAATGAAAGTAATGAATTCGCAAAAGTATTGGGTCGGCATGCCTTCTCGACAGAAGTTTTGCGTTAAGAATCTCATCAAAGCCGTATTCGGCAACAATTCGAAGAATCCCGTGTATCTATAAATTCCCTACGAAATCAAATAAGAGCTGATTAGCACCAAATACAGAACACTTGACAAAATCTAATCCCTCATTAGTTTAGAACGTAAAGGTAATAAAGATATTTATCACAATATTCTCATTAACGAATGAACAGTTCGATTTGTTTATAAATATATGTACGAATTTTATGTTGTATAAATAATAATACGATTACGGTTTTGTTTGTAGAAAATGATGAATAATATAATTATCGCTTATATGTATAAAATAAAACAAATTTTGTGAAAGGAAGAAAATTCTATTAGTGACTTTTCTACTTCTTTAAATTCACGTTTCAGAGAGTGCTTTAATGCTCTACCTTAAAGAAATTTGCGAAGAAACTTGCGGGTTTCAGCAAACCGATAATGTGTCCTGTATAAGCCACAGGAGCTAAAGCGGACATGAGCTTGATTTTCTCGTTATACTCCGGTCTGAGGGACATCAGCACCCAAAATTGCGTCGTGCCCTGAGAGAAGCCGATATAGAATAGTTGCTTCTGGCCGGTATGAGCCAATATGTAGTCTATCATAGCGGGTAAATCGTACATACCCATCTCGTGCCAGCTGAACGTAACGAATTTTTATTAATACTCGCGAAAATCATTATATGTGTAGATTATGTTCGGCTTAGTCAAAAGAATTTCGAACATTTGTTTTATCGTATTCACACGGTTAGCGCTGCGGAAGTAAAGCAATGACTATCACATTTTAACATCAGCCTTATCGCAAAACGTGACAAATGCGATTAGCGCGCTTGAGCTTCACGATACCTGAAGTCCCAAAATTGAGCACTCTGCAGGGAAAGCGTCGTGTGGTTCTTCGAGGCGGTGGTCCCGCGGGAATTACCGAGCCACACATCGTAACCATTATCAGCCAAAAGATAAGCTATAATATTAAGAGTCGTTTGTTTAATTGATGCCGGATTTTTTTTTTTTAAATTAAAAAATCGAATTTGAATTGATACCGATTGATCGATCTCGACTCGGGACCACCCAATCTGCCGAAGATCCCAACAGCCCATGCATAATAAGCACCACTCGTCGATTCTGAACATTTACATTCGTATTATTAGATGGTATCCGATGCACAGATAATATATATCCGTCCTTGGTTGTTACGTGATGAAGTTCAAAGGGATATCCGGTGTTTCTTACGATACGTTCCTAAAAACAGTAATAAATAATTGATTAAAATATAATCGGCAGTTGAGTTTACTATTCAGCTATTAATCATTAAATTTATTAATTGATGAAATAAGGAATGTTTCAGAATTTCGTGAATTATCCGCTATTATTAAATACAATATTTACGCTTTCAAGAAAAAAAATTAATTCTTGCACTTCTATAACACAGCATTGTAGTACATTTTATTATAAACGAAATTATATAAGAATAAAGAATGCATTTAAGTAAAGAGTCTATGTGTTTCTAAATTATTTCTCAAGATTCCACTTACCATTGACAGATTGGGATCTGCGATTGATGGAAACAATTCACTCGTGCGAAACAATCCGTTTGTTTGAACGATGAATCCACAGCACAACAACAAGACAAAATACAAATGTATAGTCATTTCTTCGACGGAAAGTCCACCGATACTTGCGGTGTCACTTGTAAAAATATGCACTTTGTGTTATCAATGTATCTTTGTGCGTAATTTTTCGATACCGTAGGCAAATATAGATTTAAACGGAGGACACCATGCGTTTACTTTTAAAACAATTTTGATAATTAAGAAACTTTTGATAAAATAAATACTCTTCTGTTGCACAATCAAAATTATAAGTATATAATTCATGAAAAAAATCGTTATATATAAATATATGAAGGGAAATTGCAATAAACTTACAAATACAAATGAGCAAATATAAATTGTATATAATTATAATGAAATAAATAATTAAATATATTTTCAATAATTTTCCAGATGCAACAAAGATTTCACTATTTGATTTGAAATACCGAGCCAAGATTCTTTTACGAAGAGCTTCAAATGATCGCGGAAAGTCCTCATACGGTTTTATTTATATCCTCCTTTTGAGCTGCGACACAAGAGTTGAACATAAATTTATTTCCACGAGCTGTCTTTATAAATCTACTTTTAATCTATTATTCTCTTTTTATTACTCACGTATTCGAAGTCGCGTTGTTTTTATAAACGACACGAACTTCCTAAAGTCGAACCGGCGATACCGGAGGTACGCCGAGCACGCGTTCCCGCCGCGCGTCCATGCTTAATTACGTCAACCGCTATATTAGATCAAATATCTTCGTAAAAATATTTTATGCCCTGTCTTGTCACGTTACTGTTGAATAATATTGATAGTTTTGTGACAGGTTTGAAAGAGACGATTAATTACGGAATTTGAACATTACACGTGCATTATCGCAAAATCAATATCAATAACGATTCGAAAATTCGCTGATTTATTTCTTCATTAACATTTTCTTTTGCATTAAAAAAGAGATTGTACTAGGTGCGCAACTAAGTTTCCAGGTTTCACACATGGATGGTGCTAACGATACATGTAGTTGATATACATGCTAAAGTTGTGTTTTTTTATTAACTTGGACATCTGTCATCAATAACCAGTCATAATATCAACACATATTGCAACGCAAAAATATTTTTTCTAACAATAAAGATGTCGAGTTTTGTGCCAAATAAACAGCATTTGCGGGAAGCTTTGCTTTTCTGCTTCAACTTGAAAGAAAATGCAGCTGAAGCACGTCGTTTGCTTGAGAAAGCCTACGGTAAACATGCCTGAAAACTACCTGTGAAGATTGTTTTAAACGCTTCAGAAGTGGCGATTTCGACACTGAGGACAAGGAGCGCTCCGGAAGACCAAAAACATTTGAGGACGCCGATCTGCAAGCGTTATTGAATGAAAATGATACGCAAACACAACAACGACAACAACTGATAAATTTGAACCATGCATTGCTCGAAAACGGCCAGAATGGGACACGAGACACGAACGAGTGATATTGCAGCACGACAACGCTCCGTGCCATCGCACTTCCATCGTCCAGGACACCATCAAAACGCTGAAATGGGATCTGCTACCTCACCCGCCGTATTCACCAGACCTGGCCTCTTCCGATTATCACTTGTTCCGGTCGATGGCGCATGGCTTGGCTGGGCTACACTTGGCCAATTTCGAAGAAGTGCAGAATTGGTTGGATGAATGGTTTCGATTCAAAGACGCGTCGTTTTATCGTCGCGGTATTCATGTATTGCCACGCATAACTTCGTATAGCATACATTATACGAAGTTATACGAGTTTTCTTTTTTCACTGCGACTCTGAGAATGTCAT